TAAAAACTGTTTATTTTAAAATGTAAATTCATAGAAAGTTGCACAAAAAATGTATAGGGAGGTCCAGTGAATCCTTCACCCAGTTTACCCCCAATAGTAATATCTTACATAACTGAAGTACAAAATCAGAAAATGATCAATTTTCATTTAGCAGAAATTGACTTAGCAGCTATTATATGCTAGGTATTTGGGGGTAAAAGTGGTTAATCTCTGACCTTCAGCAGTTTAGTCCTCTCTGTATTCTTATATTTCTAAAAATGTTTTTTATTTTGGCTGTTAATTGTTAAAACTTGAATTAGCAGTTCCTTTGATGCTAAACATTGTTATTTCTCACATTCCTATTTGCCTTGTTTTAAAACAATTTTTGCCTTGTGTCCCTATCTTTCATTGCTAATCTTTGCAGCATCAGAACCATGTTGCCTGCATTGTCTTATTTTAATCACGTGCCAGTTTTGCAGTGCTACCAAGTCTGGATCTGAGAGGCAGCTTGTGTGAATCATTTACATACATTTCTGTTTATATTCCCCAAATTGCAACTTTACATTTTTCATCCAGTTACAGTTCAAAGCAGATATTTAATAATTCATTTTAAGAAGGAATTTGTCATATGTAGCATTTAAAAACTGGCTCAAAGAGCAGAAGCTATTAAACAATAGCAGAAACCAGACAATATGTAGGACTTTAAATAGTAATTGTTAAACATTTGAATGTTCCCAAAAATATGAGTCTCTGTGTCTATGTATGTCTCTACATGTTATTCCACTAGGGACTTGCACAGATAGGTTTTGCACAATATCCTTGCTGTTATTGTCAGCCATAAACAAATTACACGTATTTAACAAGTTAATGTCAGATTGGCCAGGAGCCACTGGGAGGTGTGTACTTAGTGACATCAGCTGGCAAAGAGCCCTGGTAACAGGGAGGGTTGGAAGGGTAGTGGAGGGAGAGGGAGCAGGAGGAAGGAGAAAGAGAGAGAGAGAGAGACTGACTGACTGTATCTGGGGATTCTGGCAAGGTGAAGAGCTGGTCTGTTTGGCAGGACCTTCCCATCTGGGATCCATCTGTGTTTCCCTGGAATGGGACAGGCAGCTCTAGTCAGTGAGAAATCGCAGATGTGAGAGAGCTGACACATGTCCAGCTAATGAAAGAAGGAGGAAGGCTGGTCTCAGATTGGGCTTTGAAGATTAGGAAGAAAAGAGGAGCATTTTTATATCTATTTCAAATAAATTCTATATATTAGAATCTGGATTGTCATAATCTGAGCACTTTCGGGTAAGTATATTTTAATTTTAGCTCTTGGGGCTAAAGTGGGCAATTTTCTCCCTTTCAAAGCTTTTTACTTGTTTCAGATTATGATGATATGAATGTTTTTTGATATGAGTTCAGCCTTTAGCTATTCTGTTGTTTTGGTGCTTCATTTTGTTCGTATTTCTGTAACATTTTTCAGTTACTACCTTTATATTTGAATGCCCTGCTTTTTTTAATGAAAATTTTAATTAGATGTAACATGAATTCTGGCTAGGAAAGTAGTCCCCACAGATATTTCTATAAGGTATTTATTCCACATTGAGTCTTTCTGTAATGTTTTGAGGAAATTTTTTTTCTGTTAGTGTGCATAATACAAAGAGGCTGTTAGAAAAATGGCTCATTAAATATTCTTTCTTACTGTCAGATTTTTTCAGTGTAGTCAGGTGAACTATAAATAAAGGATATTACAGTAAAACTAAGTATCTTTTAATGTATTTAGCTCCATTTTCCTTTATTACATTTACCCCCATGCTGTTTAGTTCCATTGGCTTCCTATGTACAAAATAAGCAAGTAACATCAACAAATCTGACTTGAATTGTGAGTTTGGAGTAGTTTTGTGATACAGTAAATTAACATGCACATAGCTACTGTGTTCTATGGTTCTTGTTTGTGATTCATAAATTAGATCTTGCTATTTCTATACTTTGTATTCATGTTTTCCAGGCCTCCAAATCCAGACAGCTATGGAAAGAGTATGGGTTTGAGTTACACATACTATACAGCCATCTTTTCACTAGTTCTCTAATCTGAAGCAAGATACTTATTCTCTTTGAGTCTCTGTTTTGTATACTTCCTGTCTCATGTCATTATTGGGGAAACTGGCACATAGAAGGCATACAAGTTAGTTTTAGAAGTTTCTAGATGTTCATTGCTTCTTAAACCCTTTGCATTTTTAACTTCAAACTCTTGGGCTAAGAGTGAGTCTTGTCTATAACTCTAGTTTTCAGGGCACGTTCCTCTCACTGTAGCTACCTCCCCAATTTACCTATATCTATTACAGATGTTATGTGCTATCTTGTTAAGTCTTGTTAAGATTATAAACTATTTGGAAAGCATTCTAAGTATTGTCATGCAAATGAACCTGTTATATTATTTTGAACAGAACTTTGAAAAAGTTAACAAATAGGAATGAGGTACTAAATTACACTGCTTTGTGATACCACTGTTTAAATTGTATGTTTTTTCCATGAAAAATTGTACTAGTTCTCAAATAACTTAAAAATATGCTTTTATTCCTTAAAGTTCTTCAACCTTCACTTAAGTCAGTTGAGTAATAACTATTGACTTTCTTCCTTCAGTTTTGAGTCAGTTTCTTGAGGTGAAGCAGGGAGACTTTTAAAATGAACTTTTGAATAGATATTCTCTTAGACCAAATTGACTAGATGATTAAAAGAGTTTTTGAGTTTTTGTTTTGATAGGTGTAGTGTTCAACATCTTTGGGGGTCTTGTCTGAACTTTTGAGAGGATATATATAGTGTTTATATTAAATTTACATGATACTCCTTCAAGTAAGCAAGCACTTTCATTGCCCCCTAGGAGGCATGCTCCTAGGTTGAGTAGGGAGAAAAGGACTTGATGCTGATGTGTGTGTGTAGGCTGGGTCTACTGTGAAGGGCCTAAAAAAGATTTGTATCTTGCTGTTGTATGTCCATAGTAGGAATTCTTTTGGTGCTAGGGTTTTAAGAAGCATAAAAAATGATAAATAGTATGCATTTTAAGATGTAAAGATCCACTGACTGCACATAAAGGTGACTGATTAGAAGTCAGTTCAGGAGAGTCTTATTACTGAGGTAATCAACTAAGATACCTTTGGGTTCAATACTGGAGAAAATCATAGTACTTTCTGAAGACTATGAAAGCATACTCTGAGAAGCTTTACTGGTATGAAAAGGGAAAACCTTCTAAACTGGCTTTTGGGAATGACCCAACCAAGGAATTTTTTCATAGTAAAGGGCCACCATGTTGGAATGAAGGTATTTGATGTAATAACGTCAGTAAACTGGAGATAAGGATAATGATCTTTAAATTGTATCTTTTGAACATCAAGAAAGTTTTTTTTTATTTTGAAATGAACATATTTTATATTTTATACACAACTGGAAGCATTCAAGTAGATCTGAAAGTTGGTTAGGTTATTTTAAGGCCACTCAGTGCTAGAAATGCTCGTAAATCCCCAGTGATTGATAGCCTATGGAAAGTGTTAGGATTGTAAAGGATCTTAAGAATTATATAGTGAAACACATTATTTTGTAGATAAGGAAAGTTGAGGAAAAGGTAGTGGAGTGGTATAAAGTCTGCCAGATCCAGAGTTTAATACCCTAGATGGTGGCTGAGCTTGGACTGAAATTATCTTCTGAGTTTTGAGGACATTAATTTTACAAACATTTTCTGATTTCCTGTTGTGTGATAATATGGTAAGGGATAGTTTCATAGAAGAGATAAAATGTACACAAATGCACAAAATTGGTTAAGTCCTGGAAATTACTGCTAACACAGGCAATCCGAAAATCATCATGGAAGAAGTAGCATTTTATCAGAACTTAGAAGGACAGGAAGAATTTGGCTCCTAATGTTTGGAAGAAGCATGGTGGATGGAAAGGTTTACTTTCCATTAGACCCCAGTGCCTTAAATCAGACGTGGTCAAATGTGTACAGTGTTAATGTCTATTATGTTTTCAGTTATGCCTAGCTGTTGCTATCTTTCCAAATCCAAGAGTGATTACTTCTGAGATTCTTACCTATCTTTATATATACAAATATCTTTACCCCTTTTTTAAACTTGTGATTTATACCAGAAGCTCTAATTTAAAAGGTTTCTACTATGATGGACTGTGTGGGTTGTTTAGTTTTCCCTCCAAGTTCAAGTCAAATATAGGAACTAGTGGTAGCTGTGTCTCGCAGAAAAACAACCCACTATACCTGGTTTCTTTATTCTCACTGGTTGATGGGCTTTCCAAACATTGTTTAAGTTTTAAGACCAATGTGGTGTCACGTTTATCCTGGGAAACTTAAAATGCATATGGATTTACTTTTCTAAAGCATGCCAAAAACTGCAGAAGCAACTCTTTGTGCTTTGTTTAAAGCAGCAGCTAGTGGAAATCCTGTTATCATTCAGTCCTGAGCAGCTTGTTAGAGATGCCTGGTGAGGTGGGGTGCAGTTCTGAATAGACTGTGTATGTACATAGATCTGTAATTGCTTTTCAGAGCTGGAGATCTGAAGTAAATAGAATATATATTTTCATTTGATTATGTTAGTTGGGTGAAGGAAAGCAGTGAAAAGGTTGTGTGTAGGTTTTGGTATAAAGGCTGTGTAAACTATGCGCTCATTACCCTTCACCTCTGAGCCCCAGTTTTCTCACCTGTAAAATGGGAGTAAAAGTGGCTGTTACTTTAGGTTCTAAGAAATATGTTAGAAGGTAATAAGCATGATACTTGCTGCATTAATACTTAGTGAGATTTATCTTTCCATGTGATTTTTCTGTCTCCCCTAAACAGTAATCACAATAACTAAAATTCTTAGTAAGAATATATTTTTGCAGATTTTCAGTAAGTCTCTTCAGACTAATCCTGCTTTCTTAAACTAATTTTTAGTCATGGAGAAGGGTGCGTATAGAGAATGCAGCAGCTTTAAAAACTCAAACCTGTTGCTGTGTGGCAAGCTGTTAATGTTTAGGGACCTTGCATTACTTACCCGGCTGGAAGAGCTGGGGGATGGGCCACTTGGAGGGTGACAGATGTGCCCTCTGCTGCCGGCGGGCGCGTGCCGGCTCTGTCCCTCTGCTCCCAGCACCAGGTGCAGCCATTGTTCTGGCTGGTCTCTCTTCATCCGGCTTCGTCTGTTACTCTGCTCTTTCTAGCTCATTGTTTCTGTAGGAAATTAGCATTAAAAACCCATCTGAAACCCCCATGTCCCTCAACTGCAGGTGACTGTTATTGGCCCCAGCTGCCACCCTTGCGCCTGATTACTTCCATATGGGTCTGTGCAAAGAAGTAGTAGCCATTTATTGATTTCCACCACAACCCCCACCTCTATTACTCAAACTATAATACCCTGAAATCTATTAGACCCCCAATAGGCTGTATAGCTCAGTTGGCACTACAACTGTGATGAACGTTTTACAAGCAAAACTAATTACACCCTCTTTCTCCCCCTTTACCACCACCTACCTAAATACTAAATGTAAAAAACCCCAGAAAGCCCTAAGTGGAATAGTAAATCTTCCAAATGTCTGGAGAGGAATCTGTTTCTGAGTTACTAGTAAAGCTTGTAGACTTGGATGGGCTTTTATGGAAAATTTTAGTCACTGCTTTAAATACTTCATACCACACCCATAACATTCAAGCAAGTAGCGCATGGCGCAGTAGGACCCTAGGGTAGGGGTGGGGAGACAGAAATTTTGGTCATTTGCTTTTTGGTTTATTAAATTTAATCAGGGTGGGCAGTATGTTAGGAAAGGGAGCCTAGTTTAAAATGAAAACACTTTCTAATTGCATGAAAACTATGTGCAATTTAAATAAATTAAATTCTTTAATTTTGCATCATTTCGTTGTTTGCCTTCTGTGTTTGCACAAATGGTTGTTCAGTTTATTAGGATAAATAGCACAGCGAGGAGGTTGGTGTCCTAAACTTTCTTCCTCCATCAGTAAACAAACTAAGTGTTCTGTTTTGGTTATTGGTCTAAATCAAGATTGTAATCTCGAACAGTTTGCCAGGTTTAAAATCCTATTGAAATTGTTACTGACTCCTGATGATGACCTTGACAAAGTCTCTACCCTTATCAGTTATCAGTGAAGGGATCTGGTCCTGGTAGCCTTTGTTAGTAAATAGCCTGGAAAAGTCAAGGGGGAGGTAATTGACTAAGATCTGTTTGCTGAGTATTTAGCAACAACCCAGTCTTAGAGTAAAATCTTGAGTTGTACATTTCAGATTAAGTTATTTACTAATGGTTCACACTTACATCATAAATAGTTACGGAACTTAATGGCTATTCTGCTGGGGAAATGTCCTTTTGCCTTTCTTTCGTTTATCCTTTTCTTCTTTATCTTTCATTTCTGGAATTTGAAGTTTAAAAAGGTCCTAGAATTTGAAGAGCCCCTGGCAGTTCCTATGAAGGTGAGTCTCCAGCTAAAGCAGTGTCATTGCATTTAGAACAGGTTAGGATTTGTAGTTTTTGAAGAGTCTTCTGAGAGCTTTCTCATTTGCTCCCTCATGTAAGTGGAGAAATGGAAGGACAGAGAGATCAGAAAAGGGGGAGAGTTGTGATTTGAGACTGAGTCTTCTGAACCTAAGTATGTTTTCATTTCAAGTTTGGAGTAGTGAACGTTGGTACTGATTGTAAGCACAAAATTGCTATAGATATTATCTTGAGGTGTAAGCGTGTGTTTAAGTGTTTTTTCTTTTCAGTGTTCATGAAGAATGGGGTTTTCCTTTAGTGGTCTGTTTAAAGAGAAATATAGAGATTAAGTTTCTGTTCATCCTTTGTAACGACGTAAATTGTTCTATACCATTCCTGGGGCTAATGCCATGATGAAGCTGATAGTAGCTTTTTTTTGTTCTTGAATGGGAACCACCTTTTCGAAAGTAAAGCATGCTTATGTTGCCCCAAGTAGAAAAGCATGACAAATAGTCAAGTGTGCTTTGATTGCCCAAACAGCATTTTGGTAGAGATTCTTCAACAGGGCTGGGACTAGGGTGAGGCAAATGAGGTACCTATGCAAAAAATTTGAGGCACTCACTCCCAGGGTAAGTCCTGCATTTAAATTCTAGACCTCATGTGCCTCACTCCATCCCAGCCCTGCTTTTCGGTAACGTCTAGAAGAGTAGGAGGAGGATACCAGACCTGGTATAATTGATATAGAAATGTTATTTTCTGTCTTTATGTTGGAAAGTGAATAAAATGAAAGTGGTTTTTTTTCCAGTTAAGGGAATACTCTTCATCTTTTTAAAGTGTGTCTGGAGGAAGGGCAGAAGAAACAATGATTTGGCTTTTGGGAAATTTGTATTCTGGAGTCAATTTCAAACACTCTAGTACAAATATTTTGGTATGTTTCTATAAGGTATAGCTTTATTTCTCATATTTTACATATACAAATCAACACATACACTTATCTGGACAAATGAAAATAGTAGGTTAGTTTGAAGATAGATATTAGAGGATATTCCATACTACGTATTTTCTGCTTTTGAGAGTGATTGCTTAATACCCTTTAATTGCATTCTGCAATCTCATCTTCCGGTGACTTTACCCACATCTATACAAATACATGTACAAAATAAACCTGTATATTTACCACCCCAAATATATGTCTTTAAATCATATTTCTCTTTTGAGCTCCAGAATCATCTCTCACTGCCTAATGAATATTTTCATGTATGTAAAATTTGTTGATTGTGTTGTTCGAATATACTGTTAATACTCATCAATCTATATCACAACAATCTTACCAGTTTTTAAGAAAGATGTGTTAAAACTTTCCCTGTGATTATGTTTTCCATTTCTCTTTGCAGTTATGTCAAAATTTAGTTTTTGAATCTGTGTTGTTGGATATATACTTTGTTTAGGAGTATTACATTTTCCTAATGAATCATTCCTTTATCATTTAGATAATGACCTTTTTTGGTCCCCAGTAATGATTTTTTAATTCAGAAGCCTGTTTTCTCCAATATTAATATTGCTAAGCCATTTGTCCTTTTTTTCCCTAAGTCTATAAAATTATTTATTTTGAACTTTAGTTCAGACACATCCCTTTTGACTGTGCCAATGTTTGACAAAGTTAGCCATTTGCCTTTTCTCATCATTTTTTCTTAACCTTTCAGTATCATTATGGTTTAGATATGAGTTATGAATATCAACTACTTGGATTTTTTTGTTTAAATTCAGTCTAAAAATATTCTTTCACTTGGTAACTTTGGTCTGTTTATATGGAATGGTAACTACTGTATTTGGACTTGCTGGTATCACTTTAGGTTTTTTATTTTCCTTCTGGTTTCTTCCCCTTTTCCTTCAAGATAGAAAAATGTTTTATGTATTTCTTTTTGTTTGATATTACATTTCCATCATTTTGATAATACTTAAAATTTCTGTATGTGTACTTGAAGTCTAAAACATTAATTCATACCATTTTTTTTTAACAAATCTTGAAACACTTCAAATCTAGCAACTTCTCAATATATTACTACTGTCTAGGATTTTGTTCCCACCTTGTGTTTTATACTCACCCCTAGTCAAAAGAATAATTTTTTTTTACAGCCAGTATTAACTTAGGTTTATCAATATATTTATCAAATTATTTGCTCATATTTCCTCTTTATTGTAATTTTTCCGTCTAGGCTAATTTTCCTCCCTGCCAAAGTACATCTGTTGATAATTCTTAAGAGAAACAGTCTGTGAGTGGCAAATTCTTTTTCTTGGTCCAAAAATATCTTTATTTCACCTTTATTTGAATGACGGTTAGCTGAGGTTAGAGGGTAACGACTGATAGTTACTTTCCATCATCACTTGAAGTAGTGATTTCTGCTCTGGAGATGTGAATTCTGCTTCCAGTCAAGTTGGATTTTTATTCCTTTGTCATTTACATGTTTTTCTTTCTGGTTGTTTTTAAGATTTTATTTTTTGGCTTTGGTGTTCTGCAGTTATATAATGTTGAGGTAAACATTGTGTGTGGATTTATTTGTGGTGCTAAGGACTTTGTATACTCTTTTAATCTGAAGCTTCAGGTCTTCAGTTCTGGAAAAATCTTGTCTATGATCTCTTTGAATAGTGTCTCTTTTGCCTACACTCATTTGCTCTCATCTCTTTCTAGAATTATTGCTAGATATATATTGGACCATTTTATGCTATTTTCCATTCCTATCTTTTCTTTTGTATTTTTTATCTTATGTCTTTATACTGTATCCTAGGTGATTTCCTCAGCTCTGTCATGTAATAATTCTTCATTTTTTTAACTCGCATCTGATAAGCTCTTAAAAATGTCTTTGATATTTCCTTTCTAGAGATTTTACTAAATTCTTTACAAATATGCTTTAAAAAGACCTGGGTTTTATTTTCATTATTTTATTTTATCTCCTTAATCACTTTTTAAAAATTAGATTAATTGAGGTCCAATTTATATACAGGAAAATTCACCTTTTTAGGTGTGGTTCTGTGAATTCTGACAAACATGTACAGTCACATAGCCACCACCAAAGTCAAGGTATAGAACATGTTCATCACCTCCAAAAAGTTCCCTTGTGCCATTTTATAGTCAGTCCCCCTCCCCAACATCCATCCTGGCCCCTGGCAAACACTTGTCTTTTCTCTGTTCCTGTAGTTTGCCTTTTCCAGAATGTCATATAAGTGGAATCATACGGTATATAGCCTCATGTCTAGCTTTCACTTACCATAATATATTTGACATTCATCCATGTTGCATATATCAATTGTTTTTTAAAACAGTTGATCTATAATATTATATTGGTTTCAGATGTACAACATGGTGATTCAGCAATCATATACATTACTAAATGCTTACCACAAGAAGTGTAGTTATATTTGTCAACATACAAATAAATTACAATATTATTGATAATGACAGTATTTCCTATGCTGTACTTTTATCCCCATGACTAATTTTTTTATAATTGGAAGTTTGTACCTTTTTAAATCCTTCACCAATTTCACCCATTCTCCTTAATGTTTGTTTTTATGGCTGAGTGGTATTCCATTGCCTAATAAAGTGATGAGCCTTTTCAGTTTATCCTGATCCTAGGAGACCCCTGAGTTTTGCTCTCCCATATACATTTTAGAATAAGGTCTATAGATCAAATAGTAGTATGGTATTAATAATAATTATTTTTGTAACTGTAAGCAAATACCCTACCTTTTAACAATTACATACTGACATATTTAATGGTAAGGGAGACACACTGTCTTTAGCTTACCCTCTGGTTTGGTAGGTAGGTAGAGTGAGTGGATGGGTAGATAGACAATGATACAGAGAAACAGGTCAATTAGTGAATTTGGTTGAATGGTATCAAGGAGTTTTTATGTACTATTCTTGCAAGTTTGAGAATTTTTTTATAAGAATGGTTTTTAAGTTGATATAAAAGAAATAAAGTACTGAGCTATAATAGATACCATTAACAAAAAAAAGAGGGTATGATAGTGAAAGGTTGATCTAGGCTGTCTGAGGAAGTAAACGGAGTTGTTGTCTGCATGACAGTAAGTGGCCTAGTAGATATCAGAAAGAAGAAT